GATGCTTTCTTAAGCAACAAGGAAATCCACCTATACTGGCATGCATCGAGACAAATATTCAACTGCTTAGCTCAGACCAGCAATTACTAAGAAGTCATTATCTTAAATTTTCAGCAGAAAAACTTACTCGAGATCCACGAAGAACATCCACAGGCAGATTCAAGCCCCAACGACCTCCACAAGACTGAATACAAGCTATAAGAAGAAATGCTTCCCTTGACACATCATTCTCCTTATTCGAGCTGGTGCAATTATCACAATTTCCTGAAGTGGTACATGAACCAATTTCACTTACTTTCTTAAACTAGCAGTTCAATTTCATATGGAAGTTCATTTTAAGAAATTTATCTAACCCAATAAGGCCATAACAGTTTTAGAAAAGCTCCAGCACATGATATGTAATAACATATTAAACCCAAGTGGCATTACATCCTGAAATTTCAATCTACACCCACTTCTGTAGCATGTTTAATTTCTTAGGTATTTGTATCTTTCATTTATTGAAGTTAAAACCTGCGAATACAACCAATGCTCTGCTCAACTCAACCAAACTAAGCCTTATTAGATTTCCCCATCAAATCTGTCTTAATCCACTAACTAAAGAAATGTTAAGGTAATGAGTTTATCAATCAAATCTTAACCAGTTGAAAATAAATCATCATACTGAAATACTCAGCAAAACAGAAACACACTTCTAGTTACATTTAACTATAATACCATGAATAGATAGTGAAGATACTAAACGAGTAAACGACAGAAAATTAATTAAATTTTGATAAAACCATACCACACTTATCATAAGCACATGTTTCTCCAAAGTATTCCAACAAATATTTTCTCCTACAAACTGCCAGCAAGCAATAATGTTGTGCAGCAATAAACGATTCCATAATAGCTTTGCGCTGATCTGCCTGATCAGATAAAAAGATAAGATCAAATATAGATTTTTAGTAATTCACGAAAACTAAAAAGATGTCTTTTCAGCATATGAACCATCCAAGAACTATAACAGAAAGGCAACATACTGATTGTGCTTCTCGACAGTAATAATCAGCTTTCGCAAAGTCACTTCTTGTGTAGTAAAGCCAGCAGATTGAGGGAATGCCATCTCGGCCACATCTTCCACTTTCCTGGTAATAAGACTCCAAACTCTTTGGGCATCCATAGTGTATCACATGCCTTATGTTTGGTTTATCAATACCCATACCAAAAGCAACAGTTGCGACCATGACATAGAACTCGTCTCTGATAAATGATCTGCAAAGGGTACAAGAATCAGCTACATTCCAAGCTTAACCCATTCACTTAGAAAGTTGAACCTTAAAATTAGATAGATGTGAGATCCTATAAGGGATGATCAACAGCATTTACAAGAAAAAATAAGCCAGTAACCCTGCTAATTGGTGGCAGCACATAGGCTGGTTATCTAATGCACTTAAAGAAATCTATTAGGTGCTAGCCCATAACTGCTAGAGCTAGTGAATGATAATGGCAAACAAAAAATAAATAAAACCTGTGTGCATCTTCACGTGCTTTATTAGACATTTGGCCATTGTAAATTCCAGCCTTGATTCCAGCTTCAATAAGTGAGCTGAAGATCTGCAGCAACCATGGGAATAAGATCAGAACCAAGCTTAGATGCTTATTTGACAATTCATAAGTGAAACATGACACAATAAAAGATTAAACCTTCCATATTGTGTGAGATTAGGGATGAACTTCAGTATAACTACTTGTATGATAAGTGATTCTAAACATACGAATGCTGGAACAGAGCCCCAGCATGGAATCATTGCACTTAAGCATATTTTTGTGCAGGAATAAAAAGATAAATATATTTCTACAGATGATATGCCAAATAACCTCTTCAGTATTTTTAACTGTTGTACAATATATTATAGTCGAATTTGCATTCTCTACATATTTAGAGATCTCCTCCACAAGCTCATTAACAAAAGTAGAACCGTGAGTGAAAGATTTGACTCCATAGAAGATATTCTTGCGATCAAAAGAGCCAATAGCAACATGAGGGTCTTTCATCTTCAAGGAATTCATAATGTCCCTCCGAACTCTGAAAGATTAAAAGGTTATTAGCACAAAGGTCCTACATTCTTCCACAATGAAAGAAACAAAGATAATAAAACATAGTGATCTAGGCAATATAGCAAGGTTCAGAATTATTGAAATGTGGAATAAAGTTAGTATATGCACTCAAATGTTATCACTCCATATGTAGATTAGGCACCTATAAATCTAAAATGATACATGGAAACAGAAGACATTGAGAATTAAAAGGCTCTTATAGCTTAGCAAAGGCATAATATGTCAAGTATAATTATAATTATAATTATAACGCCAACAAGCAACATTTATAACTATTATTTATTATGAAAAGAGAAGAATGTTATCTAATTAGAAATACTTGAATGCAGATAATTTAAGTAATGCCAACAGCGAGTAATGTTTAAGAGAAAGAACAAGAATGACAAGTAAACCTCATCAACTTTTATACTGCCCATAATATCAATAAACCAAATGTGTGAATGATAGGGGAAAATAGTTAAGAAATGCAATCACTGATTTGTGATGACCTACTTCTCTGTGGCGGTTGCTGTAAGGCCAACAAAAGGAACTTCCACAAGAGCATCGCGCAATCTGTCTAACTGCTTGTACTCCATCCTGCAGACAGTATTTATAGTTAGAAACATCTTTTGGTATAGTTAATTGCATCTTGTCTTATCTTGCAATAGAGCTCTAACCTGAAATCATGGCCCCACTCTGAAATGCAGTGTGCCTCATCAACAGCCAACAGGCATATCCCTGATTTTAACAATCTAGACCAGAAACTGCAGTAGCAGTGCAAAATTGAGTTCAAGAAAACGTTCTTACCATGAGGTTTCTTCAGCAAATTATAATATATTATTTAGATTGAATACCTTGTAGAAAGCAAACAGGCCTTTTCAGGAGTCATGTAAAGAATGTCATAGAGGCCAGATTCAGCATTGCTCTGCACACTACGATTAGTCTGAGCACTCGAGAGGAACTCAGCTTTGATTCCCCTCTCTTTCAATGCCATTACCTTCGTAAAAAAGGATACAGAAGTATCACAATTTATGTCCAATGGTGCCAATGCAAAATGATAACACATAGATGGCATACCTGATCTTGCATCAAAGATATGAGAGGGCTAATTACTATAGCAGTCTTCTTAGTAATCAATGGAGGCGCCTGATAACTTTATTATACAATCCAAAAACCGGAAATCAAAAGTAAACTGTCAATCAAAATCCCAGGAAGACCAAAATGATTACAATATAATCCAAAGCAGGAAAAATGGAGTTATTGACCAAATTATAAAATGACGGTTGAAACATAGAAGCTTACCAGAGTGATTTGCCACTGCCAGTGGCCATGACAACTAAGCAGTCCTTCCCTTCTAAAATTTTCTCTATTATTTCTTTCTGGTAAGGGCGATATGTTGAATACCCAAAGTATTTCTGGAACAGAAAGAAAAATGTTGAAAAAACTTTTGAAATTCTAGGTTTTAGATGAGCAATACAAAAAAAGTTTAAAAAACTAAAAAAGAAACGAAGAAAGAACCTTGAGAGTGGAATCCATGTTCTCCATGGCTTCAGCGGCGGGAGCCTGAACGAGAGGAAATGGGAGAATAATGTAACCTAGCGGCTATGGTGAGCGTCCGACAACCACGTTACAAATGGCGGACCGGTTGGTTAAATTTCCCGCCATTTTAATTATCTATATATTATGACACTATTACATGGATTTTTTTTTTTTTTTGTGGGGGGGTAATATATAGATGGAATTTCAATTAATGCTTTCACATATGCTGGAAATGGTAAGATAGAATTTGGATTCTTAATTATTTATTATAATATATATGAATATAAATTATCGAGAAATTGTAATGAATTCGCATAAATTTATATATTGATATTATGAAAATGAAACATATAATTAGAGAAGACTAGTAAATCTATTTAAGACCGTCCATTCAAACTAGCGCCTTAGAGAACAATTCTCATCAAATTGGTTTAGTAACTATAAGGTTTTAAATTTAACTTCGTATGAAAGTTGTCTATCGACCTTCTCATTTACCGGTTAATGTTACAAGACAAGCTTCACCCATAACTGTTGCAGGCTTTCCCATACATCAAAGTAGTTCAACCTAGGTTATTGACCTATGACCACCTCTGTAAATGCCAAAATGTAGATGACAAACAAATAAATATATATATATGTATGTATATGACAATCTATACGAGTGGGGTGAGTTACAATTCTCCATATATCATCTTGTATTCGTCATTTGATTAGAGCCGTCAAAATGGGCTTAGCCCGTCGGACTTTTCAGCCCCGCCCTCCAAAAAGGCGGGGTGGGCTCGTGTTTTTGAAGCCCGCTTTAAAACGGGCTTTTTTGCCCGCCAGTTTTTTTTTTTTTTTTTTTTTTTTTTTTTTTTTAGTTTATATATATATATATATATATATATATATATATATAATTAAAATTAATATATATAATATGTATTAATAATAGTGTCGGTTATTCGGTGATCGCTGTTATTACACTTTCATAATCGATAAATAACCAAATAGTCGAATAAACAAATTTTTTTTTGCCTTATAACCGATAACTGAAATTATCGGTCGGGACGGTTATCGGTTATCAGTTTTTTGGTAATTATACTTACCCCTATTGGTGCCATTGTTGTCATGATGTGTATGTTATTTTCTTATGAATAAGTGTTTCAAGTAGATAGCAATTAAGTTATTAACATAGTCACATTAGAGTTTAAATTTTAGGGACACATCACACATGATTAAAAAAAAATAAAAATAGGCGGGCTTTGGTGGGCCCGCAGGCCTGGGGGCAGGGCAGGCTGCCCCTACCTAGGCCAGCCCGCATTGACAGCTCTACATTTGATCCCTTATTAATATAAGCTGGTATATTTTATTTAAAAATAAAAATAAATTATGGATCTGATGTCCACAAATACAGTATGATAACAGATCAGTTAAGCTACAAATTGCACAAAGTTCAATTGAAATTGGTCACCAAACAAGAGATGGTAACTCTGAATAACCAGACCCCATTATCTAAAACCACTGTTAGCAACCATCAAAATACTAAGATATTCCTATTATATTCATAAAAAGAGTTTTCTGTATTCCTCAGCCTCTTGAGCCATCTCCTCCATGCTTCTGTCCTTCCTTTCCTTATCTAAATCAAGAGATTGCTTCAGCTCCTTCTCTTTTTCGTCCAACTGAACCATGCGCAGAGGATTGATAATTATCAGCAAATGAAGCAAAGAGTTGAAAATAGCAAAACAATGCAGATTTTGAATTTTGATCCTTACAGCATCATAAATTTCATCATTTTTCTCGAAGTCACCACTTTTGCGAGGGATGATGTGAACATGAACATGAGGAACAGTCTGCCCTGCCTGAGGTCCATCCTAAAGACATCGAAAGAGACAATGAATCAGCAAATTCATGGTCACAGCAAGCAAAGAATTGGACAATGAAATTTGGTCATACCAACTAGAAAATCATAAAATTAATTGAAATCTAAGCATCTATTTTTAAAAGGATTATGAGGATGGGGTTACCATGATAAATTACAAGGTAATCAGCGGGTACTAATTCTTAGGTCCTCTAAAAGGAGACGGGGCATGGCTTAACCAGCCCCCAACTCTAGAGCCTAATGAGACCAAATATACAATTATTTGGTTTTCAAGAATGGAGTACAATTTTTCGTTGATTGATTTATTTTATTTCATTGCAAATTCAACTAGAAAGACAGAGCCATCACTGTACCATTTAAACTAGATGCATATTTTCCTATCAGATTTTTTTTTTTTTTTTGGGTGTGTGTGTGTGATGAAGGAGAAAATTTTAGGGGTATCAAATTGAGGTTAATGACTTAATGCAATATGGAACAAACTACTCCATAATTAGAAAACTAGAATGATTCCCAGAAAAGCAAGAATAATCAGATCTCAGGTCTGTCTTGGGACAGATTATGTGGCTGCTTCAATAGCAGAACATAAGCCAGGAAAACACTAATGACATAGAAGCTCATAAAACATACTTGGATTGCAAATGTAAGTGATGACGCATTGTGGTAGGACTCAAGTTGACGTCCAATCTTTTGCGCCACACACCACAAATCACTAGTTTCATCAGCAGTGAGATCTATAAAGCGCTTCACTTCACGCCTTGGGCAGACAAGCACATGTACATTTATGTTAAGTCAACCAGAAATGCAACTTGAAGTTCAAATAGAGGAACCAAATCAAGTAAAACAATTCCCAGATTCCCCCCAATCCCCCTACACACACAATTTGAAGAAATAATCAAGAGCATTATGTGCTATAAAAATGATCCAACAAATATAGAGAGAAAATAAGAGTATATTTAACTATTTAAGAGTAAAAAGTTGAAGATTACGTGGAGTATTTATCAGCAGGTATGTCGGGAGTGACAGGTATTACTATGCTAGGTTATAACCCGGAGGCTCTTATGGATGTGCTGTCCATATTTGTACCCCAAAGCGTTTTGTACAAGAATTCCTAAAGTGAACCAAAGTGCATCAATTATCTAACTTCTTCTTTATCACTAAAAGGAATTTCACCATTCTGACTTGAGTCAAATACAAAAACTCATCCCCCAATGTATTCCAATAAACCACTCAATTTATTTGCAATCAAAAGGATATGACCTGCGCAGGAGAAAAGAGACAACTCACAATTAGATGCTTTGAGCTCATATCAAGTTCACTCTTGATATTTAAGAAAATAGATAGCTACTAAAACTTGAACTTTCCAGCATACATATTACTTGTAGATATGGCAAGAATAAGGCTATGCTTGGCACACTTTGCTGAAAAGATAATAGCTGAAAACTTAAATGCCAGTAGCTGCTTATTTCGAAACATTTTAAAATAAGCTATTATTTTAAGCTCTCATCATTTTACCAAACAAATTTTATAGCTTATTTGTAATTTAAAATATGCTCTACCAAATGGAGCCACATCTTTCAAAAGCCCAATCTAATAAGAATTTCAAGACTGGAAATTTAACAACATTTGCGGACAATGCAACTTTAGCAAAGGCAATACCACATTTTAACCAAAAACCTAAACAGAAAACAAATTATTAATGAAAGAAGCTAGCTCATACGCACAAAAATGCTGTCAAACAATAAAATTTAAAAAAAAATTAAAAAAAAAAAAAGGATCAAGTACCAGGAACAAGAGGACGGAGGTTGACCAAAGCATAGGAAAGTTTGGATGAGTAGAAAACTTCCTTGGGATTAATTTCATACGGCCCAAATCGGTAATGTTCCGCTTCCATCTGGGCTCAATAACACAGAACACAATGAATTAAAACATAGAGCGTGTAATACTGGGAAAAAAAAAAAAAAAAAGACAAATTTAATCACAAAATCAATGAATGCATAAGGGTTTGCCTTGCGTTGGGAGTGATTTGACAACGACGACAAAACCCGCGTTGTGCAGAACCGATGATCGGAAGTTGGCCGGTTAGGGAAGGTGATTCTGAACAGCTGAATAGCTCTTGGCGACGATGAAGAGACGGAGACGAAGAAATAGCGACGAAGAGTAACGTTAAGAATTCGCTTTGACATTAGTATATAGGAGTGGAGACCGACTGACTGAGCTTATTTTGGGTACTAGCCTACTAGGTACAATTTTGTTTTTTTTCTTTACTGGTTCATTTGTTTTTAGCTTTTTGATAAAATACAATTTTATTACATTTTTTATGGCCATTTCACCTCTTTCTTCTCCTTTTTTTTTTTTTTTTTTCTATCTTAACTTCTTATTTTAACCCACATAATTTATTTTATTTTAAACTAAGTTTTTCACCCATACGTTGCACAAAATGAATTTATTATAATATTTTAAAAATATTTAGATCAAATATATAATTATATAATGATTATTATATAGCGCAATTGATGAAATAAGTTGGATCAATTATGTTGTATGATGTTATCATTTTTTGAATTCGAACAAATAATTATCTAATTACCCGTGCGATTTACGGATAATTTTTTTATTATATATTTAGATAATAAAAAGAGTTAATACCCAAAATCGTCCTCGACTATAGTGGTTTTTCTCAATTTCGTCCTAAACGACTTTGGTGACCTAATATCGTCCCAGACTTTTGTGTTTCGCTCAATTTAGTCCCAGACTTTTGTGTTTTTGCTCAATTTAGTCCCTCATTTGTTATTCTGTCCATTTGGTGTTAAATAAATAGACAATTAAGTAATTTTAATATTGACATCTCTTTACTCATAGACATGTGAACTGCGAAATCTCTTTTTTTTTACGAATTACTCCCAGAATTACTCCTAAAACTGCGAATATAAAATTTGATTTGCAGGTCCGGGAGTAATTCTGGGTGTAATTCGTACAAGAAAGAGGAATTCCGCACTTCACAAGTTGAAAGTAAAGAGAGATCAATATTGACATTACTGAATTGTCCCTTTATTTAACACTATTTTGACGGAATAACAAATGGAGGACTAAATTGAGCGAAACACAAAAGTCTTGGACGATATTAGGTCACCAAAGTCGTTTAGGACGAAATTGAGGAAAACCACTATAGTCGAGGACGATTTTGGGTATTAACTCATAATAAAAATAAAGATGAAATTATTAACAATTATAGAATTTAAAAATATACATTTATTTGATTATAAAATTATTGTAAAAGTATTATTCGATTAATTGAATAATATATGACTCGTTTGTCTGCAATTATCTTAAAAAATTGATATATAACATGATTTATGTATTTATATTATTAATAACTAAATATGAAAATAAATAAAAATAATTTAATTGTAATTATAGAAAACGATATTTTTTTCTTGAGTTATATGCTTATCGCACTTTTTTCCCTCTGAATTATTCATGTATTTACATTTGTGAAAACAGTGAAGAATAATAACTTTAATAAAAGTTCTTTAAATTTTATTTTGGGAAAATAGCACCTTTTCCCCCTAAGTTATATATTTATAGCACTTTTTCCCCCTCAATTATTTATGTAAGTACATTAGCCCCCTCAATTATTTTAAAAGTGGTGGTTTTTCCCCCTAATATATTAAATTGACATTTCTACCCTTAAAGTAAACATTTTATTTATTTTACTTCTCCAACAAATTATTGCGTATATGTAGCGATTACCACGGTTCGGTTCGAACTAAACTAGACACTATAGCAATTGAATTAAAAGTTTTTTGTTATGATTCAGATCTAGAACCCAATATTTGGATTTCAATTTATTAAATTTAAGAATTTAAAAACTGGATCATGAATCGTGAACCGGCTGTTCCGGATCCGGTTCGCGATTTTGAACCGTCTTTATTTTAAAATTTTATTTTTTATTTTAAAATAGTCTAAATTCAACAATAAATGTATTTTATTTTTTCAGTTCGGAACATGAACCGACCATCCGGTTCGCGATTTTAATAAACTCTAAATATCGCGTTTTGATTATAAATTGTAATTGAAATATTTTGGTTTGGTTGCTATAGTACCTATTTGGTTTGAACCAAATTATAGTAATAATTTGTTAGAGAAGAAAAATAAATGCAATATTTATTTTAAGGGTAAATATGTTCATTTAACATTTCAGATGGAAAAAGAGCCACCTAAATAATTCAGGGGGAAAAAGTGCTATAAGTATATAACTTAGGGGGAAAAAGTGTCATTTTTTCTTTTATTTTTATTGTTATAACCGATCATTTTTAAATAATTTTTTTCATTTATATGTAATTATTAATAGTTGATTATTATAAAATTGAAAAATACCAAATAGGCTATAAAGCTTTACACGAATGTGTAATTAGACGCTTAAATTGTAAAAGTATAATTAATCTCATGAACATGCTATTTTCGTACATTGAAGCCTCAAAATTAGTTAATGACCTGCAATAGCATGTTAGTAGGATTTCGACGATACTCATCAGCTTTGACGATCGACGCCGGTTGCCTTTGAATAGGGCAACCAAACTAGGCGATTGGTAACCGTTCGTCGATTTTTCTCTGATTGTTATCAACAACGATCTGCATACCAGTAACATGTTGGTTATCAGTATATTTGACTTATTTGACGGATTTTAATAAGTCATCATGTTTAATAGCACTTTTCAAAGGTTAAATTGTTTAGTTGCACTTTCGTGTAAAGTTTGTTTGAATACTACTGATTCTATGAAAATAATTAATGTCATCGACAATCATTTTACATGTTATTCGCTAAAGTTAACCATTAATTTTACTTATCACTTATTTACAAACAACTAATATTATAAGTTGATCATACTCACTAATACAATCAATTGGCAACTAATTACTAATGGTACTTAAAAACATGCGTCAAGATTTGCGCCTAATGCGCAATGTAGCACTGCTCATTTTTATTTTTTTTTCCTGCCATTCTCTTGATCTTTACAAGAGCATTATTTTTGTTAAAATTTGTGCTTCTCATTTGTTGAGCTACATATTACTGTACCAATCTCTCCCTATTAAGCGCTGGTGGTAATGCTCTTAGGGTTGCAAGTTTGTGACATATAGAGTTGCTTCCAAAATTCTCCACCATAATATCCAGTGACAATAATATTAGGAGACAACTAATAAGGCAATAACTCTATAATGGTTTGGCAAATTGGGAGATGTAAGGATTCGTTTTGACACTTAATTACGATTTAACTGTACAAAAAATATTTTTTTTTTTCCTTATTATGAACTATAGTGAAAAGTCAATGATGAACGACAACATCGATTAGTTGATGACGACGAAAATTTTCTAAACGATTTTTTAAAATACATCAAAATGTCGTTATAACCGTTTTGAAATTGTAGTCGAAATCTTAAGTTATATTTTAGCGTAGTTAGAGCTGCGATATGTGATTTATAGATTTACTTTCAAAATCCTCCACTATAAATTATAATAATTGATGACTATATTATTAAAAGACAACCCCAATTAAATTGATAAGCAATTAATTTTGTAATCACACGTTATAAAACTCCCAAATGAACGAGTGTTTTTTTTTTCATTTTGGCACTTAAATACATTTAAACGTAAGAAACAGAAAAAATCCCCGCGAATTTTTGCTTAGTCTGAGAAGCAAAGTCAGTGATGGACGACGGCGGCGATTGATTTCCGGCGGCGAATTTTAGAGAAGAAAGAGGCATGGAAGCGGTGGCGGAGGGGCTGTGGGGATTGGCGGACTATCACGAGAAGAAAGCCGAGATCGGAAAGGCTGTGAAGTGCTTAGAAGCCATATGCCAGAGCGACGTCTCCTTCTTCCCAATTGTCGAAATCAAGACTCGTCTCCGCGTGGCTACTCTCCTCCTTAAACACTCCAACAACATTAACCACGCTAAAGCCCACCTTGAACGTTCCGTTAGTACTTCCTCTCTTACTGTAGCTCCTTACTTGATTTGCTCGCACCGTTGACTGTTATCTTCATATTGTCAAACGCGTCAATATATGTTAGTATGTGTATCTCGATACTAAAATTCCATGAACCTATTTGACCAATGGGTTACCCCATTTGATTAGAAAGAGCTAGCTGCTTAGAACTTAGGGTTTGGGATTGAATTTTAGGATAGATTTCTGATGAATTTTGGTTGATAGTACTTGAAATGGTCTTTAGTGTGTGTGGAGGTAGTAGAATTGAGCAGTGCAGTAGTCTTTACATGTGTTGCCTCCGGGAAATAAGTTTCAAAATCTAAGTATGTTGAATATGTTTTTATTTTTGGGGTTAAAAAGTTAAACCCTCTTTTGCTAATAGTGTTTTTACGTGTTTCAGCAATTGCTTTTAAAGTCAATTCCTTCATGCTTTGAGCTAAAGTGCAGAGCCTACAGCTTATTGAGCCAATGTTACCATCTTGTTGGGGCTATTGTTTCACAAAAACAGATACTGAACAAGGGTTTGGAACTTATTGCATCTTCTGAGGATGGGTATGCCTTCATTACTTTAGGCTACTGCATGATGCTATTTTGCTACTTAAATACTTAATACATTATTCTATACGTGAATGAAGAAATAAATATATGCCGCAAATCCCCACTATACTTGGATTTGGGATCAGATGAGTTGAGTAAGGTTCTCAATTCCTCAATTTCTTATTTGAAAAAAAAGATGCTAATATTATATTTATTGATTATTGAATCATGCTCTTAAAGTACATGACAGGAGAAGTACTCTTACTAAGTTACTAGTTATATGTCCCTACCTTTCATATTACTTGGCAATAGGATTTTGAATTGAAGCGATTCAAGTGCTTTTTGGAAACAAATTGTGTGTGTGTGTGTGTTTTTTTTTTTTTTTTCACTGAATCATATATAAACCTCTTTTATTTGTAATTTTGTATCATTTCCTCCCAGAAGCATTGATTTCCATCCTCTATAGAAAGCTTATAAAATTGAAATATCAATTGAGTGCTGTAAATTAATTGTCTTAGATATGATCTCTGAGATTTATATTGTTTGATAGATGAAGAAGCTTTAATAGAATATATGTTATCTTGCTATGGGTAAATTGGTGGCTTTCTAGTAGTATTATAAAACAACTACAAAAGGAAGTGTCTGTGTATTATTTTCTGCCAAGACTCTTTCTGCATACTATTTATCACATTTCTTTATGCC